TAAAAGAATTGTTCATAGACTCTTTGTCAGTACTCGCCTTCCGTTTAGAAACTGCAGGAAGAAAACCATAGAAGTGGATTGAACTTGTTTTCGCAACTTGGTCTTGTTGTCATAGCGACTGAGTTGAACGCATCTTGTCCGAAGTTCTCTGCTTTAGAAGTTATCATAATTCCCAGCATCGGAAAGTAGACGTATACGAGACGAGTTTGTAGCTTGGTGCGGAGAATGACAAGACTCACTGATGGTGCCGACTACGATGCCGGCGAAACGCCTGAGAATGTATCAGGTTCACGGTCCGATGCTGAAAATTAGGATAACTTGCATCCAACTGAATCGCCTTGACAACAAGACCACGTGACGTAAACGAGGTCAACCCACTTCTGTAAATTGAAAGGAGACTGCGACCATACCGAGGGCCACAGCATCCTGGTCTTCATAACTTCAAGAAAACCATAGCTTTGAATTTATGAAATCTGAAATAAAAGAATTAGTTAGTACTTTATTACAAAAAGCTTACTTATAATGCTAATGTTTGTTTAAACAATTCAAGAATAACAACTAGTGATAGGTTATTCTATTTTGGCTGCTAAAGCCATGCTTGTTCGTTTGACCTATTGGTGTTTCCAGTATTATTGCATTCAATTATTCTTTCTCCTGTCTAGCGTAATTATTGAGAGAATAAATGAATACGAATATGTAAAGGCAAAATACATATGTTTATATAAATAAGATTTTAAAATAGTCGTATAAAAAAGATACATTTATTTGTTCGCATGTCCTAAACTGCGCTAGAAGGTGTTTATCGGCGGCTAGGCATCAGCAGACAACAGGGGACAACTGCCTTAGATACAAGAGCAGCACATATCCGAGGCAGACAGGTGGAAGCTCTCAAATAAATTATAAGCTATAAGTGTAGCTGGTGGCCTTAAGTAAATCGCGACAATTTATAACAGATTTCTGACTAATGCCCTTATTTAAGCATGATGCAATGCCCATCCTTTGATCAATAGGATCCCTTGTATAGTAGGATTTTGCCTTAGACAGCCGGGTATTCTACTAAAAAATATAGCATTATTGTGTTATCCCAGTTTCCCTGTAGATAGTAGAGGAAATGTAATCCGTTGTCACTTCTTGTCGACTTCCTATTGTTCTCCAACCGTTTTTGAGTCCGTACACACTTCCTCGCTCACTCTGCCCAACCTATCTTATCCTGCAATTATACACTCTAGTCCAGCTTATTCCAATTCTTCAGGTGACCTGATTCATAGGACTTCCCAAGTATTAGTTGAAAAGACCTCGAGGCTTCCACATTTTTGCCCCATTCTTCTATTCCTTAAGCTGGGGCAAGTGTTGAACAAGTCTAGAGAATAAATATTAGAGGACAAGCTGAGAGACAAAACGAGTGTGAAAATAGAGATAGCCTATATAAAGCCTACAAAAAGTGAAGGAGTTTATAAAGTTAAATAAAAATCTGTTCAGTGAATAAAAAAACTATAATTGTCTCTTAGTTGGTCATTTGCTCACAACAATGTACAAGGGAGAAGTATGATGTCACTAGAGAACAAGATCTGGAACAAAGCAAAAAAAGAAATGAATACCTTATTTTTAAGCTAAAGAAGGATTAGTAGAATTAATTGGCAATGCCTGGAGTTCGTATACTTGGGGATAAAATTTAAATATAGAAAAAGCAAGTACATAGGATTATTTTAAACCATTTCCTATACACGTGCATTCAAACAAAATGTGCTATTATGTGACAAAGTTCAAAGTATGCCTGCATACTTCATTATTTGTGTCAAAACAGAATCGGAAATAGCGAGCTAATAGAATAATCCTGTTCTTTTAAATCGATTTTCTATTGCTTGATTGCTAAGGATTAGATAAATCTAAAAAACCCAATGGTCTACTTGCATAAAAAAGAAGATATTTTGATACTTTCAATCCTTGATTACTTGGTCCTACTACATCCCATTCAAGTTCATATATTTTGGAAGCGAAATAGATAGCGAATATTTTGAACGGTAAACCCATATTCACTGGAGGTGGTTTGCCAGCGTTATGCATTTACGAGCTTAGTTTCGAGTAAGCTTTGCTTATTTGACTTGAGCAGCAGAAGTGCAAAAGCTATCTGGCCTAAATCATGATCAAGTTATCACCAATAACTTAAAATGATTCACTTGCTACTATGTACATTCTTGTGTTCTAGATGTTTTACGTGGAACATATTGGACTTTAGAAAAGTTTCGATTTCACAAAAATATTAGACATCCTATTTATAGCCAGCCACTTTCTACAGTTAAAATGAACAAGGCAAATCTCAACTTTACTAATCTCATGACTATTTCAAAATCTTTCGGATTTGCGCCAGCAGGGGGAGCATGCAATTCTAAGAAAATATAGAAGGCACTCCTAGAGTTAACAACCATGAGCTCTTGGCTATGCTTGCTCACCTCTTGCAATTTAGTCATGCGTCATTTGGAGAAAGCTTACTATTCCAAATATAAAAAAATTAATATGTAAAAGATTACATAAAAAAACTACAACAAACCGGATTTTAAAATTAGAAATAGTTTTACTCAATTCAAATAGCATCTCATAGAGATATCAGAATTTTCCAGAGGAACGATAGATATTTTATTTATTTATATTGCGTTTAGCAATATGATGTCTAAATAATGTTAGCTAGAATTTCATCACTTGGATATTCAGATATCCGTAGTTTTATTCAATTATGTGGCTGACAATAACTTTTACTTGTCTTAAATCTTAATTTGATCATGCGCCTTACTTACTAAATCGCATGGATTATTATTACAAAGTATTAAAAATTTATACTTTTCTATTGTATTATTTGCTGATGCTTATGAAAGCATATTCTATATTTGTACTATATTTTACCTTTTTAATGGCTTAAAGATGCCTTTTATGCATTATATATAATTTATTTGCTAAAATACATTAAGAGATAGGCGCTTATTGTACAATACACTTGTAATAGGTTGGTACGAGAAATTTGATTACTTGTTACTATGCGCTTATTTATAGATGCCACGAATAATTAAACTCAAAGAAAAACCCTCGGTTTAAATAAGAGTAATGGAAGTAGGAGGGTAATTGTTACTAGTAATGAATCTAATGATCTTTACTATTCTAAGGAAAATTTGAAGAACGGAATTATTAACATATAGGCAGATATTTATCTTTATTTCTTTAAAACTGATAATCTTTAAAACTAGTGATCCTGATCGCCTTCGTGAAATTTGTTTAAGCTCGATGTTATAAGCTTTTGCTTTCAGAAAATCTAATTTGCTCAATTCTATTCGAAATTATAAAATGCTTGACTAGGCTGCAGATCTCAAGTTATTTTATTGGAGTTTTGAACAGTCCTAGCATATCCTCATTAGAATGATAATATATTTTTCAAATTTGTACGTGCAAAAGCTCAATTATAAGATCATAAAACTTTAACATGTTTTCACACTGGACAGCATTTAAGAAATTTTTCAAAGGTATTACGTTTAGTTTCTTCAGATATTCCTTTGTAAACTAAAAGTTAGCAGCATGTTTTCTATAATTTACTTTAATTTCATATATACCCTTTACCCTCGCTGTCACTATGTAACGAGCAATTTATCTCTCCTAATCTGTTGACGAATTGACTCTATAAACTTCATAAAAACTAAAGCTGTCTCTTTAGTAACCATTAAACTCCAGTTAATTGATTGGCCAGTTGAGTTGGTTATACTGGGATGCGCGAATATATTTGCAGGTAGAATAATGGAAAGAGAAACTGACTTGCTAAGAATATAACAAATATGAGGGTATTCATATAAGTTTTAAAAAGATAGACGAAATTACATATATAGACTGCTTTAAGAACAGGCAGAATTAGCCATTTAATTAATAAATTTGCAAAGATCTGCTAAATGAGTAATGAGAAAAGAAGGGGTTATTGCGAAAAGTTAACTGAGAGAAGTTAATATGAAAATTCTGAAAGGAAGGATATATAGTAAAAAAGATAATGTTACCCAATGAGGCCAGTGAACATTGATTTTGTAATTGAAAATAAGTTAGCCCGAAAATATAAAAAGTAAAACACAATAGATAGTTCATCAAGTTCAACTTAACATTACGTTTTGAGATTAAGGTATACGAGTAGGAAGCAATGAAATGTGACTGCTGCGAAGATTTAATGAGGTAACGGAAAGAAAACAATATGTACAAAGTAGTGCGAGAAAGAGGAAGAAGGAGCGCAGGATTCTAGAATGAATCACTACAGGTACTAGTATATATGATGCAAAATATAAGAAGCAAAAGATGGTTAAATGTGATATATATATATATATATATATATATTAAGGAAATAGAGAGCAAAGTACAATATAAGAAGGTTTAAGGAAGTTGAGCATGGAAAAATAGTAAAAGATTTGTGATAAAACTTATACTATTAAAGAATATACAAACCGAAACAAAACGGGAGGAGTATTAAATATGTATTGGACATAGAAATTTAAGGTAGAATAAAAGGAATACTGTAAAAATATTCTCACAAAGAGGAAATGATAAGCGATCTAAAGAATGAACAAGATTTACAATTACTAGTATTCATTCTTAGGACGCCGTTCTTACATAAACATGAAATGAATACCTGTGCAAATTAATTTGCAACATTTTCTTCACCTTCTTAAGGCCAATGAGTTTAATAAACTAGCCTCTAGATACATTTATGATAATTCTATCAGTGTTACTCTTTCTCTGGTAGGGCATAGGTAATGTTGGATCAAGCGTCTTTGATGAGGCTTAAACGACTAAACTATTTTATGGTATCAAAATTTTATAAAATTAAATTTTTATCGCCTTTTATCATACAGAACTGATCGTAA